TAATTGGCAACTATGCAAAAAAATGACACAAACCTGTTTTTGTAAATCAATTTTGAAAGATTCATATAAAGCAGAATCCTTAAATACATCTTCTGCATTATTTTCTGGAAAAAAATCAATTCAGTTCGATGCTTTTTTATCAAATAGATTACTTTACCTAACAGCTAGAAATGTTTCGGCTAACCAAATTTGTTTCGAATCAAGCTTTTTTTCTCAAGTTTGGCCATATTACTATTCTCAAGTTTTGAGCTGTCAATTCTTGTTTGATGATGAATGAATGTATTACTTTACGTGTCAACACCATATGTGTTGCAACGGTTGGCAAAGGAGCTACTGATGAAAAAAAATAAAAAGAGAGGATGACTGCTGGATTTGGAAAATTGTAAAATTTTTAGTTCTTTAGCGAATTTAACTCAGAAGTATTTTTAAACTAGTATCACGCTCAAATCAGTGACATATTTTCGCATATAATGACAAAAGGAATGTTAAGTGGTCATAATTTTTGGAATGTAGTAATTTGTACTTATATAGTATTAAAAACATATGCGGAAATTCTGAAAGAATTTAGAAAGTTCCGAAACTTACGTTTGCGATGTTTCTGCAAAACGTTGAAAAACAGAATCGAAAAACTGACTAAATCAGTTGGCTGTGTTCTCAGTGTTTCACGTACAAATGCTTCTAATAATGGACGTAATCCAATTGGCACTTTGTAATTTTCATTTGATGATTCTGCCATGTGGTTTTCTATAATTAAAAACATATGGCAATGGACGTGAAATAAATACACAATAATGAAATCGCACTTTTGACTAAAGATTAGAAGAAAAACTAAGTCAGAAAACTGATAAGGATGATATAATAAAGCACTATTTAGCAACAGTAAGCAAATATGCAAATATCCTTTTATCCTGATAAGAAACAGACGGTGCAGATTGGCAAAAGGTTAAAGTGATCACTAAGTAACTTAAGTTCAAATATTCTCATTCAGATATTTTACTGATCCAATTGTCGGAATCAGAAATCCAAAAACTGCACTGTAAGCAGTGTTAGCTTACATGAGTTGTATAATCTTAACTTAAGTAAGGAAATTTTAAGAGGTCACAGGTTATTTGGAATGCTTTATTAAAATTATACTAAAAACTGATATTATAGTAAAAAAAGTGAAGTCAAATTAAAGAAAAAGTTGTTGGTAATACGTCTTCACAAAGAAAAAAACTACACAAATATTTAAGTTCTTACTTTTTAATTCGTTTCAACAACATTTTGTTTTTTTTCCCAAGTTTATTCAGTGTTGTAGTCTAAATGCATATCGACTGATCATATGGATCTTGAAAGGGCTTAACACTATACCAATGTGGACTTCAATTTGTGGTGAAGTAAATTACTTCAACTTTTAGAAGAATTTTTAGCGAAGTTTAGATTAAAAAAATTTTTTAAACAACCATGATTAAATACCTCTAATATAAAAGGCACGGAAAATGAGGATAGCAATTATAAGGGGAAAGACCAAACGGGAAGGGTTATAGATGATTAGACATAAACTTTCTATCTAATGTCATTCGAGTCCACCCTCGAATTTCTAACAATTTTTTGACCCCATCCTTTATATGCATCAACTTCAAATAATTAATTAACCAAAAAAGAAAGGATCTAGTTGCTGCATTTGATTATCCCGAGTTGTAATATAAGCACAACAATCCTCGTAAGAATGATGACACTTTTTCTGAGAGGAAAGATTTATTCTCCTTCTGGATTTGTGTAGTAAAAAGTTTCAAGAGTATCAAAATTCCAAATAAAATAATTCCTATAGCCTTTCTTTCCTTGCTAATGGGTCTACCAAAAAAAGTTTACAACTTTCCCAGTCTTATTCAGTCAGTCAATGACGTTGTCTTCACGATTTGCTTCAAGCATCGTTCTGCATTGAGACATCTGTCTAGAAGTAGCCACTCTTATATCATAATGAAATGATGTGATAGACGCTCCAAATAAGACGATAAAGATAAGCAGTGGAAACCGATAGTACCAAAAATGTTTTAATCCTCTGGACCAAGTGATTTTGCGTTTTATTCTACTCTGCAAAAGCAGCGTCCAAAATGTTTTGCCAAGACCAGAAGAATGAAGACTGAGGTTTGTAAAAAGTTAGTTTGGAAATGGAAGAATTGAAATAGACATTAATACCACCGGCGTTCCAAACAATGGCTAATCGAAGCTACAACAAAAGCAACAATGACAGAGCTTAATGCTCAGAGTTAGCTGTCAAATGACAAATGTGCTGAATGCACGGGTAGACAGATAGGCAGACGCGCACTGCAGCAACACATATCCATCCATCTGATGAGGACGACGGACAGATATTAGGTTGGGATTTTTGCAGACACATGAACATGTATCCATAGTAACTGAAGCGAACAGAAGATGCAGTCAAAGTTCAATTAGCACGAAATATATTTCAAAAATGAGTTGAGTAACTCGATATGCGTCACCCAGATGAGTGCGAGATGGATGGGAGAAACCTGAAAACGTTGCTTCTGCTCGATGCTCGACAGTTTGCTAATTCAAACTTCACCGATGCCTTCCTCTACAAATTGTTTGGAAGAACGAGAAGTTGGAAAAACTTCCTAATATTGCTTCATTTTGCCACCTCTACTCGATAAGATAATCGACTTCCACAGTATTGTGAAATCTCATTGTGCTAATTTCATTTTATCTTGACCAGTGATCTGATCAAACATTACGAATTAAAAAGGACAAAGCTGTGATGAGTAAAAATCTATTATTAAGATGGCATATATATCACAATTTGATTTAGTAGATTCAACATTTTAGACCAAGCAGAATTCAAGTTAGTGAATCCATTGAGCGATACACAGAATCGAAATTAAAATGTGAGAGATATTAGTGAATGACAATCTGTCATGTTCGAAACATCTGAGGAAATATGACAAACAGAGGTAAATATCAAATGTAAAAAAAATTAAAACTCGAAAAACTGACGCAAATATTTAATATTTCATACTGTAAAAATAAAATGAAGTTAAAATAATAAAAGCAATAGGTCAGAAAAAAAATCGAAATATGCTCATTTTGCTTAAATATACCACTGCTAGTTAAACGCTGATTGTTGCTAATATGAGTCTCACTTCATAATTGATAAGCGCATAATGAAAAAATTATTTGCACTTACAGCCGAGAAGAAACCTTCCCGAAAAGTAATTCATAAGTTATTGAGATGTGAGATGGGATTTAGCATCTACAATTGTATCATTCTTTGTCAAGCAGCTGTCGATGATGTCTTTACAGCTGTTGTAATCATCACTATTTTCTCCATTTCTCCACTAAGTAAATAAATCATCTCATTTTGAGTACTGAAGTATCATGAATTCAAAAATATGCTAGCTGCAAGGGTAACTTCATTTTTTAGAATCAGGTGGCGAAAGGATGAGGCGAGGTTTTCTATTCATCTTACATTTTTCGTTCGAAACTTTGTCAGCCTCATGTACAAATCAACCAAATAAATTTATTAACAAATCACTAAACCTATTCCATAACTGTGTAACGAAGCCTTTCCAAAGTTATACTGTTCCAGAAGGTTATAGTATTTCCCCAATACTTCTATATAGAAAGAAAGTGCAGACAACAGTAAGAGTAAAGTGACATAAGAATGATAAATAAGTTATAAATCCGTTTTTAATTAGCAATGGAAAGGAGTTGCAATTTTCCGCTTTTGAAAGGAAAAAATAAGAAGTGCTAATGACACGACGAGTTACGAAACACCAAATACTGCAAGATCCTATTGTTGCTTTGTAGAATGACGTCTCTCCTGGTACTACTTAAATGTATTCTGCGAACCTTTGATGTATACATTTGGGACTGGAACAATATGCAGTAAAGTTCATCACTAAAATATTGTCTGCTTTTTAGTTCACACTTGATTATCATTTGACTTTGAGATGTTATTTCATGACCTTTAAATATTATAAGGAATTGTAAATGTACATTGTGTGAATTGTGCACTAAATTATTCGTTTTATTTATTCACGTTTTTGAGCTTTGATTAGTGAAAATACGCACTTTCACCTAGTTTTCAATTAAGCATACTTGAAGTTTGTTATGTAAAAAAATATTCAAGTGCTTAAATTATGTGAGCACAGCATGGTAGTCAGTAAGTTTAAGTAAGTGTATGTTTTTTGTAACAGGAATAAATAAAGAAGCTCGCTGAATCAATTGTACTGTGAATACTTTTAAACTGATTTACCAAGCAAGTTTCATAAATAAATCTCTTTCTCAAAGTAGTTCCTATCAAATTAAAGAAAAAAGAAATTTTTTTAAAATTATTTTTGAAAATGTTACTTTGAGAGGGCTTCAAAGAAAAGAATTTCGGAATTATTGAGAAATATGAGCTATTTTACGTGGAATGTTTAGTCAACACTCGACGAAGGTAATATAGTTTAAAGGATGTAAATGAACTGCAAAGTATGTAAAGATGAAGATATGTTTATAATATTGGATGAATCAAACACGAACAATATTGTTTTACTTTGGTATTACTAGGAAAGGAATAGACCGAAAGCAAATAGGAATTCATCATACGTGAATTTATTTCATTACTTTATCATTATATCAAAATTTCTACACACTATAAGACTCATATTGGTTTTTTTGTAAATTGTCATGTCATTTGACATTATATCTGTTAAGCTTTCTTGAGAATTCTGCTAGATAAATCTTGCAGTAACGAATCTCAGAACTTGAAGATCGAATTTGGATTAATATGAGAGTCTTCCAGTTGAGCAAAAAATATCACACAGCAACGAATTGTTTCTTCGATTTACTTTTCTTTTGATAGATCTCAGTGATGACATCCATGAAATAATATAGTTCCAGCAAAAGTCTATTAGCACTTCCCATTTCACTACATCTGTTAGCTTCATGAGAATTCTGCTACATAAATTGGGAGAGTATGTTTTTTGCTATTGAGAGACTTTCCTTTCGATGTTCAAATGGACTTAGGTCACAAAGAGCATGATCATTTTACATCACTTTCCATAGCTGATAAGCCTAGCTCATTTTTACACTCGGCTTATTTTTCTCACGATACATGGCTTAGGGTTGCAAATTGCACGGATTTCTCCTTCATATTAGAAAATGGCAGTGGAGAAAGAAGAATGCAATGCAAAGGGGTATTCATTTTTTGCAATTGTTTCCCAACTATGTTTTTTTTTTAAGCAATTATATAAGATGATTAAGATGGAAGTTAAGAACAATAGTGCAAACTTTGAGAAACTTAGGCCGATATGTTTGGTGTCTTGTATGTTAGCCTGCATATTATACCAATCCAGCTCTCATATATATATATATATATATATATATATAGAGAAACATCAAGAGGAAAACTTGAAGGTTGATTCTGGTATCAAGAAGAAATAAATTTAGGATGTGAACAAGAGGTACACGGCATTGTGACATAAAGCCTGATATTTCCTCATGGAATTGTACCCTATCAGTCTGCAACTTATCGATGAAACTATTCATTTCCACTTGTTATTGCAGTATGTAAAATACGAAGCAATTTTATTTGTATAACAACCACAATGTATAGGTATTAATCTATAGCAGCAATATTGATAATTTATCTACAATATTAATAATTTATCTACGTAGAGTGTCTACAAATGAAATGAAGAAAATGGGTAAATGAATAAATTGGTCGGGAAATGAGCTGAATTGTGAGTGAGGAAGAGCAGCAGAATTGTAGCTTACTGGTAAGGAAAAACTGGTAAAACTGAGTTGATTGAGACAAAAGGTTTAAACCCTTATATAGTGGATACTGACTTGCAGCAACAGCATGATTATTGAGTAAGGAGCTATCAGATGATCTTTACTCTTTATATAGTAAGAGATGGGTTTTAATACTGTAGTTTCTTAAAGAATGACTATTAGCTTAGAAAACCTTTACAATATTTCGACATTGTAAGCAAATTTGATTTGCAACAAAGGAGTAGTTTTTAACATATTAAACAATGCACATAATCTTTGTTATCAGATAAGCAGATAAGCTCAACTACAGTGAAAAAATGAGAGTTGAAATAATGATTGCTTACATAATGTATAATTTGAAACAGTTTTACATTTCTAATGTTTAATTAAAATGAATTTTAATATTATGGACTAATACAATTTTGTCTGATATATTTTGTAAGTTATTTGGGGTTTGCATGACTATTTCGAATTCCGCGACACGAGTAGTAAAATTGATGATAATATACTTTTGAAATAAACTGTTCGTAAGTTTGTGATTCATCTAATGCATAAATTATACTATTCGCTTTTTGTCTGCAAATATGATTAATTCAGGAATTATCTTGGGCTGTGACTAAACAGTATCGTTTGAACTGCAAATATTTCACAATTTTCTCTTCTTGGTGGTGTTTTTCTCTCAATTTGTTCTCAAACTTTTAGAAATTTTCTCACTCTGAGATCTCTAACTCTTAGACTCATCGATGTATTATTAAATATAGTTTTCATTTTTTAATATTTGGAAAGATCTTTATTGGTTTCCTTGGCTGATATTATAATATTGTCAACGTAAAAATTTTTTCTACCTTCATCAACAAGTTTGCTACCATAATTTTCCAGATGATAATTAAAAGTAACCGATAATAAAAAAGGTGATGATATTACTCCAAATGAAACTATATCTGCTACTATAATGTTCAATATTATCCTCTGTTATCTACCTCCAAATATTCTTTAACCAAACCAGTTTCTTTATGCGGAAGTAATTCTAACTTTAAGAAAGACTTTTCAATAGGTGTTACTATAAAAATATCCATCATTCAGAAACGAAGTAGCACTCCTACTAATTCGGAAAGAGTTAAAGGTCCACGACATAAAACTTCATTTAAGCTTTTAAATGCGATGAGGCATCGTGGACGATTCTAAGTTTGATTGTTGTCTTGTTGGAGTTATAACTTGAGGTGAAAGAAACAATGAATGTCGCCTATTTGGTCCTTTTCTGGATATATCCCTTCAATAATATTCGATTGCAACTGGTCGAGAATTGTTTCATCATACTTAAATAGTTGTTCATCGTTCTATAACTAGAAATTTTAGACGACCTAAACACAAACCAAAATTATTGCTTAACTTTTCCCGGTCACTTGATATCTTCCATTAAATTTGGTGATGCTTTCCTGAAATCGTTTTAAAGCTTCTTCGTTATCATACTGATTAGGCTGTTCTTGTTTCCCTATAAATTCTAGTTTCCAGAATCAGTCGATCTTTGGAGTGTCAACAATAATAGAATAATTGTGGTTTGATCCCCTTTTCTTTTCTGAATGGCATGATATTTGGTATATGCTACCACTTCGTTAGGTTCATGAAACCTCTCGTTGAAGCAATTATTGTACTTATCTCTATATCCACTTCCAGCTATCACTGAACCGACTATTAAAGATAACCCTAAGTTTATAGTTTTCAAAAGTAATAAACTTAAAGAAATGGTCTACTCAATAATTAGATCCGGTTGTTTCCAGTCTTCATTTTTCTCCTTTAGTGAAAATGTCTGTTACATTGCATTGGTTTATGGAAACTATTCTCATTTTATTTGTTAAATTGTCGACTACTGTAGCTATGATAGGTAAGAACTCTGATTCTTATTTTTATTCCAATTCGTAATGCTTGAGGGTTCCTATTACCAAATTCCATAAATTTCACTTTCTCGTATTCAATCTCTGTAGATTTAATCGACTTACTAGTTTTTTTGATATACAAGTTGCTTAAAATTCCGGCTGCTGAAGTATCGATTTCACTTTTACTTCTTCGTGGGCATTTCGCTCCTCCAACTTTCTCGCCGCCTCCTCCAAGCGGATCATGAGCGAGATTTTAAATTTAAAAGGCTACGTTTTACAGCCTTATCTTTAATTTGAGGACTTTATGCAATCTTTCATGACGCAACCAATTTATGACAGTAAAGGCAACTGAATGATTCGGTAAAGGCAGATAAGTGCACATCACCTCAGTTTATTTCAATCTCTTTTGCGCTGTTTAATTCAATCTAGCTTAATTAAAAATTTTAGCGCTTTGAATCTATATTGTCGAAAAATACAAGAACAATAGTAAACTAACTCTCAGATACCATCTTCCTTTTCAAATTCCATGCTTTTTCCTTTTCTCTCCAATAGACCACTATTGAAGTTCGTCGAATTTTGTTTAACCAATCATTTCAAAAATTTTAAAACTTTATAAATTAAATAGGCTTGACAGATCTTTGAATACATGACAATAGTTTACTCACTCACATTCAATCGAATCTAATAAAAATAATAAAAAAGAAAAAAAAGGAAACAGAAATAAACAAAAATCTTCCCATTTTACTTTCAACCCAAATGAATAGTCCTCGAAACTGTTATCTTGTTCAAAAAAAAAAAAAAAACGAAACAAATGAATATTTCACACTGTTTCTTATCAGATTGCTTTTTTATCATTTTTACTAACTGTTATAAATTTTCGAATTAGGTTTTTTAAAGGACCGCTTGAAATTTTTGAAGACATATTGTTGCTTGACTGAAAAGAATAACCAGTATTTGAGATAGATTTATTTTTACAAATACAAATATTTCATTTCCACACTAATCTTCCTGCTACTATGAGGATAAGTAGTCGAACAACTAAAAAAGTTTTGCAGATTAGCTGCTGAATTTGATGCATTATTTATGTGGAACATAATTTTATTTGGACATATTTCCAATAGTGATTATACTTAAAGATATTGTATAATTTCATTTAATATACAAACATATTACATTTAAGTTTTTTAGATGATCTTAATTTTGTTTTAGTTCATGTTCTGTGATAACCTACTTCGTTTGGCTCCACGTACGATTAAATATCACAAAAGTAAAATATAGTATGCAAAAAACACTATTGGGTAAGTTGTATGATTAGTCTAAACTATTAATAATTTCGCTCTAAAAATGGTTTTTAATAATAAAAAAGAAAATCTTGCACGGAAGCTTTGCAAATTTAACGAGCGATCAATTTAATGACAAGCCATCAAAACTGCAATATTTGAATGGTGAAAACAAATGACCACTTTTCAAAATGATTTTTGCAACACGCATCGATGGCTTCGGTGTCATTCAAAGTTGAAGAAAAAGGAAGTGTAATAATTCTAAAAAGCGTTGTGGTACATTCCGGAAAGTGTAGCACTGATCCGGACGCAATCCAATGAATTTTAAATCTTTTAGACTTATGTTTTTTCTTTGTGCTAGTTTATTCCACAAAAATAATGCTTAAAAATATTTTCAAGTTCATATATTTTGAAGTTTTCAAAAATTATTATTGTTAATAATTATTTGAAAAAAGATTGTGTAAGCCGTAGCAGTTGTTGAGTTTTTAAGGCTGTTCAAGCGAAATGTTGTACCAGATAGTTAGTTCATTAAGATCACTGAACATCTTTACCATGACTGCCTTTATCGCCAAGTACTCTGTGATTGTTTTACTCTTCTTGTATATATATAGTCGCTATAATCGTCTACGGGTATCTATTGCCTGTATTTCTTCCTCAATATCATTGAGTGCTTATAGTTGGATATTATCCTGCAGTAGATGACAGTACCGTAAATATGATACGAAAAAACTTTGATACTTACAAGACTGAGAATTTTCTCCATTTTTGTAACAAATTATATAAATTATCATTGGGGATTTTTGTAGATGCTAATTTTGTTCCCGTTTATTAAATTTATAGAGTCACTACTACTCTTGCTAATAATTTGATGTATAATTTGTTTGTTACAAAATTTTATGTATAGTCTATTGTTTGGATTATCATTAGTGTTGTTGCTGTCGCTATCATTTTACTCAGATTTTTAGTTAACTATTATATCTTCAAAAGCTTTAATCCTCCCTGAGGTTAAATTGAATCTTTCTAAGTTTGAAAGTGGAAAAATTAAATCATTGTGATAATATGGTAGAATTTATATTGTCTGTACTATTTTGCTCTTACAAATAATACCTTGACAACAGTAATAGGTGCTGGAAGTGGTGTACAAAATACAGCTTGGCCATTTTCGTGCTGTCTTTCGTTGTTCTCTTCGTTTTTTCGTTTTCTTTTGTTCTTATTTTCAATGATTTAGATCTCCATTATTGTTCTTACTGATTTATTTATCTTTTTGGGCAGGACTTCGTCGAGCTTTCCATTCTTTTATTCCATTTTATACAAGTTAGGTTACAAAAATGAATTGTAATATTAACCTATTTCAACTTTCTGTTTTCATTATTTCATTGCTTTTAGTTGAAAGGATTGTCTCTTCTCATGATTTGACAGAATTGAAGAGCAATTCATATGTTTGAAGTGTAAGATGAAGATATCTCGAAGTTTTAGTTCTAAAGAACTTATTGGGGGGCAATATTGTACTGATGCTGAATAGCTTAGGCAAACGCACTTTGTTTAACTTAAC